TTCTAGTTACTCTGTATCCTATAATGATTTGGCAGGGTGAAGGAGGCCTAGATAATTAACAAAGAACTGATACACAATGTTTCTTTGCTCACTTCTTAGAAATCATACCATTTGTGTACAAATGGGAAGGGTTTAATATCATACTCAACAGTGAGAAAAATTTCTCCTGTAGTCTAGAGGCCAGCACAGAAAATAGCAATTCCTAGGAATGTTACTTACTTGTATGACAATATACATTAACAGCTAGGTAGACTCAAAGATGCATGTAATATCTAAGCTGCCTTTAAAATGGCTTGTACAAATCTCTCCATCCTTACCCAAATTTATTTTTTGGATGAATTTAAGTTATGCATACAAAATTGTTTCTGTGTTCCAAGCTGTGTCATATTTCATGGCAATAAGCAGGTCTATCTTCCACATGGTGGGTTCAAAAAGACATCCACCCTTAAAATTTCTTAGTTTTCTTGTATCATTTCATTAGCAATTAATCTATTCATGGACTATTTCCTTCTTGCAGAAGTATCTCATGAACTGAAGACGTAACTAGAGAAGCCATAGCATAAGCTTTCCACTTGAGGACCAGAAACATTAAGGGTAAAGGTTGATAGGTGCAGAGCTCGGATTCCTTAGAACCCCAGCATTGCATATTCCAAAATACTTCAGAAATCACTGAAACCATTGTCTTCAATACAAAAATGAAGAAGTGAAAGTGTGTGTGTGTGGGAGTGGGTGGGTAGTGGTGCTCTTTATTAAATGGTTTGTTCAAAGAACCCCAAACCAGAGCAACATGTCCTGGCTCTCGCCATCTGTTGCTTTATCTATGGGATGCAGAGTACGTAATGGAGCAACAATCTAAAGAAGAAGAATCTGAGAGTAACATCAAGGATTAAAAAGATGAGCTTGTGCCTTGAAGGTGATACCTTCGAAGAGTCTCTCGTGAGGTTTGCCATACCTGTACTCTCCACACAAGGAAAGCTAGGACAACAAAACAGAGGGAAGCAAAGAAAGTCCTGGCTCTGCACTTAGAACATTATTACTGACTTTAAAGTTAATGATAATAGCACCTTTTGCTTTCCAGAAGAAAACAATTATACATATATGTTCTCTTTTTCCTCTCCTTCCCTCCCCTCCCCACTTCCCTGCTTTGCCCTTCTCCCCATGGCTCCCTCCTTTCTTCTCCCTTCCCTTCTCTACACCTCTCTTCTCTTCTTTCTTCTCTTCTTCCACCCTTTCCTCTCTCCCTCCTTTCCTTTTATCCCTCTCCTTCTTCTATTTATTTTTTAACTTTCTTTTCATTTATACTTTCCATCTTTCACATCATGAATATGTATCCCATTCATTTCCCTCTCCCTTCATGTCTGCCCTCTGTCCTTGCAACCTCCCCTCCCCCCAAAAAATAAAATAAAATAAAATTTAAGAGAAAAAAATTAAAAAATAGAAAAAAATCGACCTTGTCATGGAAGCTGTAGTGTGCCACAATGAGTCACCCAGGAAAGTCTTTTATCCATATAACTTTACTTCCAAGTATTCATTGCAAAGAGTCATTGGTGTGGGTCAAGGCCTTTGGTTTCTGCTACACTGTTGATGCTGGGTCCTTCTCCTATTTATAATTTTATGCTAATAGCATATGCTCTCTCTGAGATACTCCTAATGTTAAGTTATTATAGAAATACACTTAAGTGAAACAATAAAAGTAATATTGTACATAACTTCAGGACAGTGATTTTTGCTCTAGTATATATTTAAAACATTTTGATCGAAAGATTTTATTTTCTGTTAACTGTTAGTATCCCAGTATTTTAGGAAATAATACAGTTAATTTGTGAAATGAGTAGACTTTTTAATAAGTAATGTTTTCCAAGTATATTAATTTGTAGCTTAAGAAATAAATGTCACCAGGAGGTGGTGGCGCACGCTTTTAATCCCAGCACTCAGGAGGCAGAGGCAGGCAGATCTTTGTGAGTTTGAGGCCAGCCTGGTCCACAGAGCGAGATCCAGGAAAGGCGCAAAGCTACACAGAGAAACCCTGTCTTGACCCCCCCCCCAAAAAAAACAAGAAATAAATGTCTACTTTCCAGAATGAATTGATTAAAATGCTTACCTTTTAAAAGATCTTTATGTGTGGTTTTAATTTTGCATGATCATAGTAAAACAACTACATAGAGAAAACAAAATTTATATATTTTGCATAAACTCAGTTATTTTCTTTCATGCCAAATAATATTTATACAGTGTGTATTTTCAATAGAAAAGCTACAAATGATTGTGGGAATGGAAACCTTCAATCATGGTGCTATTGTTCACTTGAGAAAGAGGACCTTTTCCTCTGCTTACTCCTGACTTAGTAGTGCTTTTGTTGGTTTCCTACTTCTGTTTTGAAAAATTACTACAAGTTTAATATTAAAAGACAAGACAAAAGGATTTTTTTTTTTTGCATTTCTGTAAATCAGAAGTGCAAAGTCTGTCTTAGGGGTCTAAAATCAAAGTATTGGGAAAGCTGTCTTCTTTAGTGAAAATTCTAGAGATTACATGTCCTTGTCTTCCAGATTCTAGGGCCAACTAATTTCTTTGACTCATAGACCCACCATCAAAGCCAGGAGCACCAGGTCAAGTATCTTCTACAATTCCATCTCTGCTATTTTGGATTTCCCCTTCATTTGTAAGGAAACTTGATTACATCAAAGCCATGTGTCCTATCTAGACTAATCTTATCTTAAGATCAGGTGATTAATGCCATCAATGTTCCTTTTACTCTGTAACCTACCCTGATTCATAGGTTTGGAGATTAAAGACAAAGAATTCTTTAGGAGCCATTATACCACATCATGCCACGGAGCTCAGGCAGTTGAGGAAAGCTCTTATTGCCACTGGCTCCCTGGCAAGTTAATTTGAATCAGTGTATGTCTCCTGAGTGCTTCCTGCTAGAATGTGTTTGATGAGTGTGTCCAATGCAGTTTTCCCTAAGGCACAGAGTGGCTTCCACATCTTTCTCCTAGCTTTCCCTCAGGCAAGGATGATGAGGAGCTAAATCTGTGGTGAGTGATATTAATGTATTTACTACTAATTATGGGTTTTGGCTTGTTCACATCAATGAACAGGTAAAGACAAATTTGAACAAACAAAACAATATGTCCCACTATTTTAAGTGCAGTGAAATAAGTTTACTCTTTTTACTGTGTGGAAGACTGGACAAATTGCTTCTTGTTGTTTTTTACACGGGGCCATGTTCATACACATAGTTAATGGACTCGGAGCATATGCTTCTCACCCCACTGTCCTCCCTCCCAAGTACTAGTCCCATTCTTCTGCTTTTGTGTCATCTCTACGTGTATGATTTTGTGTGTCTACAAGCCTGAACCCAGGAATTCTAGAATGTGATGCTTGACTAACTGGGACTGACTTAATTGCTTCATATGATTATTTCTAGTTGTATTCATTTTCAAGAGTATGTAATAATTTCTTTCCCCACGCCTGAAAATCCTTCCATTGTGTATGGAGAGCACCTTTTCTTTCTTTTTTTTTTTGTTTTCGAGACAGGGTTTCTCTGTGTAGCTTTGCGCCTTTCCTGGAACTCACTTGGTAGCCCAGGCTGGCCTCGAACTCACAGAGATCCGCCTGGCTCTGCCTCCCAAGTGCTGGGATTAAAGGTGTGTGCCACCACTGCCCGGCCTGGAGAGCACCTTTTATGTAGGAAACCATGGGACTGAGATCAGCCATGCCAGCTGCTGAGCAGGTGCTTCTGCTCTTCAGCATCCCCATTGCTTATGCACTTGGAAGTAAACACTAACACCATCACCGTATGTGGATCTAGTGCCCTTAATCTGCATGTCCATGGATGGTGTTGCCTCTTTACCTCCTTCTTTCACTCTCTGTAGTTATCTGTAACCTTCCTAACACAGCCTATATTCAAAGATAATAATAATAATTCACATTTTTTAAGATTACAACTCCTACAACTTAGCATGACCAGGTTTTCAGCTTTCATAATGTGTAAATACACTGTGATTTAAATAAACACTGAATATGATCTAATTAACCACCAGAGATCATTGAAAAACTACAGAAAATTACTAGACTTTCTTCTGTACATACTTAGTGTGTAAATGTTATCATTTAAAAATTGAACAATAACTGGCACCTCCCAAACAATTACACGTATGTTTAATTATTTATTTGCCATGCTTTTATAATTGTGATTTGGAGTCAATGTCAGGGTTTTTTTTTTTTTTTTTAACGTGGGAATGTCTAATAATGTCTAATAAATCAGAAATTTAAGTTTATTTTCACTCTCTGAAGACTTTTATCATTGTTACCATTTCCTTTATGGAAATTGAAATGCTAAGTATATGACTAAATTGGCCTGGGGCTTATAGGGAGATGATAAAGCCTGTAAGTGTCACACTTCCATGCTAAGTGGTTAAGACTGACAGTTCCTTGTGCCCTGGCTACTCCATGCTGTATTAGCCATAACAGGAAAGATCTGTGGTGACATGTAACCCTTTTTAACACTTGCCTCAGGATATTACCCACTGTGAAAAGGCTTTTTTAAACTCTTGTTCATTTCATACTGAAATAATCCACTTTATTCATGTCCTCAAGCTCATGTTTGTATAGCAGTGGTTGTTTTAATAACATTCCAAGGTTCAAAAATGGAGAGTTGTGGTAGCAGTCACTTTGATGTAAAGAAAAGAAAATGGGGAAAAAACAACGAAAAAAGAAAATTTCAAGGTTAAATCTCTAAACATTTTGATTACTGCCTCTCTCTGAGAATATTACTTAATCTTTGGGACCTCTACTAAACTCCCTGGTCACTACTATGAAGTGATCATTTTAATTATTGATATGAGTACACCTGAATGATATATTGTTAGCTGTGCAAAACTGGGTATGTTTTAGTCAGGCTTCTCTCCTAACACAGTTTTCTTGTATTCTATAGATTATTCTTCAGTGTTTGAATTTGAAATATTAATGTCTCATCATGCGCCAAAGGTGTGTGTAGTGAAGTGTGTCTTTGTGTTAATCCTGGGTCACTCTATTAGTGTGCTTTTTCATCCTGTGCAACTTGGGAGTCATTTATTAACACCATCTTCTAAATCACTTTTTTTTTTTGCAACATACCCTTAACACTATCATCTGATATTCTTCCCAAGGACTAAATCTCCAGATCTGAGATGGAGAGTTTGAAGGAAGTGCCAAGTGTTCTGTCCTCTTGCCTGCGTCACACAACCTGCCATTAATCTGCTTCCCACTGGCTCTGGGCTCTTACTTGTTTCTCCAGGGCAATTTTTATGACCCTACATTTTTCTGACCTCATTATTCCTCTGATGTACACATTACTCTCTCTTTTATTCCTAATTCTTTGGAGATAAAAATCTCTCCAGTCATTTATCTTTCCCTCATGGAGACTTTAGGATTGATTGCATCCCACCTCAGGTCTCTGGCTGCCCCGTCACATTTCTAACACACCAAGTCACCACTTCTTTCCTAGAAAGCCCGCTGTTGACCTTCTTTGCCAACTTTGATTACTTACTTTCTGTTCAGTATTTTGTCCTATACATTTTGTGATGGGCTGTAATTTATTAAAACCTCATTACCAAATTTTACTTATGAAAATAACATCCTAAAATATATTTTAGTAAGTAGTTAAAAATGTTTGAATAAATTATGTTTTCTCAGAGATACCCTGAGAAAGATAGATGGATGGACGGTGCTCCTGATTGTCTCCTTTTCACAGTGTGCAAAACATTCAGGTGGAGAAAAGCCCAGCTGTAAAATCAAGGTTTCCAGACCAGGCTATTTCTATTTATAGCACTGAAAATGGGACATGATACTAGCTATTTCAGAAAAGCCATTCCAAGGTGAATAATTTATGTGGGAAAAACTTTAAAGGCTTAATTATGTAAATATTATTCAAGTACTAAGTTTTACAACAGCACATTTTTTATTTACTCTTCATGGTTTAGATTGGCAATAGAATTTCAAAAGTTTGATATTAAAAACATTCAAGCTTAGGAACAAAGACTTTCATGTAAATTCTATATTGAAGATATAGCTGCAAGCCCAAAGTTGTAGGTTGTTGTCTCTATATATTTTAAAATATAATTTATAACATACTGTTCTTAAAAGAAATCTGTTTGCATTTTAGAGATTTTTTTGAGAGTTTTCTGTTTAAGCATTTTTGTGGTCATAGTTAGTATTTTTTAAATCAGTGTATGAGTGTGTGAGTGTGTGTGTGTGTGTGTGTGTGTGTGTGTGTGTGTATGGTGGGCGTGTTTATTGAGGGATGACGTCAGGTATTACTCCTTGCCATCCACTTTGAGATGGTATCTTCTTTTGTTGCCACTATTACATGCACAAGGCTACCTGTCCAACAGGCTTTAAGGGATTCTCTTGTCTCTCCTTCAGTCTTGCTGGAGAAGCCCCGAGATTACAGATGTTCATGGCTACATCCGGTTTTATGTGGGTTCTGGGAATTTGAACTCAGGGCATCATTCTTGTATGGCAAGGACCTTACCAACTGAGCATCTCCCCAGCTCTACTAGTAGTTTTTGATTGAATTTCTTTCAAATGCCCAAACTGCATTTTAGCAAAAGAATTTGCCCTTAAAACTAAGCAAAAATTTCATAAAATATAAAAAAATTAGCAGTCCAGCAGTCCTTATCGACACATACTCCTATAGAGAGAAGAAAACTGAGACCAGAAATGTGAAGTTGCCATTCCCACCAACACAGAAGCCTCAGTGAACAAGTTCATGAGGTCCTAGGGAATGGAATTTTCAGCAGTAACTCTTGCTTGTAGATCATACCATTGGGGTGTAAAAACCCCTTGGAAGCCACAAATACAAATGTTTAAAGTTGAGACTTGGGATGGATTGATTGTAGATGAAGAAATATTATAGATTCCAGTAGTATATGGACCACCAGCTGATCTAGAATTATGGCCATATGGATTGCTTATTAATGTAGCACTGAGACTCAAGTGCAGCCACAGGGTTTGTCTTTACTCACAAGTTGTCAGTTTGAGTTGGCATGCATATGATATCAGGTCTAGGCTGACAAATAAGAACTTCACTATGATTCAATTTTGTTTTGTACTATAGTTACATTTTTAAATGCACAAAAATTATTATGATTGTCTTTTTATTATTACTTTATAGCATATAAGTGATACATACTTATTTTTCCATTTTTATGACCCATTTTTTAAGCCAAGAAGTTATTTGGTGCATTGCACCATAAGGAAGGGCATCATGGAAAATTAGAGGAACATACACATTTTAGAAAGTTTGTTTTAACATTTGGTTTCTTGCTTTTTCTATCCCCTGCCTCTGCACATCAGTTCTAACTTTTAAGGGTGTTCTCATCAAATTAAATGACTAATTTAATTTTTAACTGTGTTTTGAACCATAAGTTATAGAAAAGGCTGGATAATTTTGATTTTTGTTTTCTTCACAGATGTTCACCAAGTTATACAAATATAGACTGATATTTTCTCAATAAGGACAGATGAATTCAAGGACAAATATATATGAGATCTTACTTAAAGCAGAAAATGTCAACCATGGAAGAAGGAGAGCTGATTATCATGCCTTTGCCAGGAACAGTAGCTATGAATCACAGAACCTATTAACTTGAACTCTCACAACCTCCTTGTCAACTTCCCAGGCTATGAAGAAATCCTCTTCTAACATGACTTGCACTTAGCAATGCTCCCAGTCCCTGTTCTGTTACTGCTGCTGCTGAAAACCAAGCAAACACTGGTCCTGTCTTGGTGACTCTAATTGTTCTAATGTACAAGTGAAGAAGGAACCACTTTCTTGTAATTTGCCATCTTGTGGATTGAGTTCAATGTTTTATTGAAATCATTTTGGAAGTAACACCTATGCCCCATTGTAGACCTTCACACTTTAAACATAATGTCTTTATAGTGGGTAAAGTGGCTCAGTGCATAATGTGCTTGCTGTGTAAGTATGAGAGCTGGAGTTTAGAATGCTGGCACTTATATAAAAACCCAGGCAGGTGTATGAGCCACCTGTGTTCTCAGCAGTCAGAGGTGGAAACGAATTCATTCCCAGACAAGCCTAGTGGCAAGACTGAGAATAAGCAAGTTCTGGGTTAAGAAGGAGACCCTGGCATAATTCATAAAGTACAGAATGATCTAGAAGTCATCCTGTATCAACCATCAGCCTCAGTGTGTATATACACAACAACACAGGTGTGAGAATGTGCATAAACACACACTTGCATGCACACCACAAACATAAGTAAAATGTTTCATATTGCACATGTCTTATCTGGCTACACAATCTTGCTATCCTCTATTCTCGGCATACTCTCTTCTTTGTAAACTGCCCGTCCTTATTCAAAAGTGCTGACAAATATAGATGAACTTCACCTGTAAAATAAGTATTATCTAGAAATAAATTGAAAAACATAAACTTTCCAAGCTTGCTCTTTAATAGAGATTTTACAGCTAATTTGTAAGTCCCTATGATATTGGAGTTCTTCATTATCCTTTCATGAGACTGCTTGTGTAGTCAGCTACATAGGACAGAAAATCTGTAGCTGCATAGAAACAGCGCGGGATCTTCTGAGTTATTCTCAAATGTCATCAATTGCAAAGGGCTCTATTTCTTTCAGTTATGATTACAAGGAGACTATTGCTCCACAGCGGAGCCCCCCCTAGAGGGTAATGGCACGTGTTTTTTATCAGTGCAAAGGCTGTTGTAGGCTGCCAAACATATTAGAACAGTAAACCATCGAGGAAAAGACATTTTCTTTGACCCCGTTTACTTAAGTGATTTATCTAAACTTCAGACTTTAGTGTCTGAAATTACTCCTGATATTGAATCTGTTTTTTTTTTTTTTTTTAATTTGTTTCAAGTCCCATGGAGCTCATTTAAGTTCAGGGTACCCATTGACCTACAGGCTTAGGTACAGTGGTGATCTCAGTACAGGTGTAAGACTGTGGAGAGTGGAGGGAAAAATGGAACGAGCCACAGTGAAAACAAAGACATTGGGCTAGAAATTGAGACTTTTGTTTTGAAAGGTGAAACATCCAGTACCAAGGTGGTTTTGATAAGGATTACTGCTTTTGTTTTGTTTGTTTTTGTTTTGTTTTGTTTTGTATTTATTAACCATGGAATCATGAAATCCGGCCACTACTGTCTGAAAGCTCTGAAGCTCTGTTCTTTTTTAAAATTTTGTTTTGTTTGTTTCATAATTAATATTCTTATTTGTATTTATATGTATATATATATATATATATATATATATTAGTATTTCTCTTTTTAGTTTTCCTTTTAGAGGGATGCTACAAGGGTGAAGGGCAGATACGGAGATAATAGGAAATGAGTGAGATTGGGGTGCATGATGTGAAATTTCCAAAGAATCAGTTAAAAAAAGTTATGTTAAAAAAATAAAGTCCTGGGTGGGGTTGTTAAGTTTTCATATGCTGAGGTTAAAAAATGGAGTTTACTGCTATTTGGGTAAAAAGACATTTGATGTAGATGAATCCTATTGCCTTTTCTCCTGCCTTGACCCCTATCCTTCACATTGCCTGGGCAGAGGAGCCAGTAGATACTATAAGTCTAAATAGTTAAAGCTCCAAGTCAGTTATACATGATCTGATTACATAAGATTTGGCTCCTGTCTTACCAAGCACCGATTTACACTGAGTAGGATGGCCAGGGGAAATGTAGGGATTTGTGAAACCTTAGGTTTGATTCTGAGGGTAACTAGACCCCTACTTCTCACCCATAGCCTATTCTTTTTCTTCTCTTAGCTTTACAGCATTCAGTGCATGAAGAGACTTTCGTGCACTTTGTGCGCATGTCTTGCTGCATGACAAATCTCCAGAAATAACTGAACACCTGCAAAAAAAAAATGTTCCTGTTAGTCTTTCTTGGCCTGGGGGCATGCTTATGAGCACTGTGATTCCCCACAGGAGGATGCACTTTAAAAATCACCTTGGAAATAATATCAGGGCTATTTGATCCAGCAATTTGGGAGAGCCAGCACCCAGAAAATAGTATAGAGAGAGGAAGATGGACTTTAGATAAGGTTCCTCATAGGACTCTTTGAGGGGGTTGGGAAAGAGGAAGAACAGTGATGAATTTAGGGTAAGAGCCCATGTCTTAGTCAGGTGCTATGAGATTCTTTGTAATACATTTTTCCCAGAATATGAAATTGTTTCTAGGAATTGTATAAATATGTGTGATGAAGACAAGAGATGGCATTGTAGTTTCTGAAAAGGAAAATGTATTATTCATAGAACTGAAAGAGAATATTAGAGACAAGATTAATGGAAAAGTCTTCAAATAGCCTCAAACAAATGATACCCAACTGAGGTTATGGATATACCATTGACTGTGATTTGATCATTATTTAATGTATACATGTATTGCAATATCACATTCTACCCACAAATGTATACAACCACTAGATTTCAATTAGACATAAAAATTATTCTTTTAAAAGCATTTGGATAGAGATGGAACAAGCCTGTTCTTTCTTCTTCTTCCTGAGCAACATTTCCTGTTAATGAAGAGAAACGTGGCCATACGAAAACCTATCATTGTAAAAACTAGTAATGAAGCTCAGAATTGCCATGTCCTTGTCAGGCATCATTTTTCTGGCCGCTGAGGTCATAGGACAAGGCTGTGAGGCTGGCTGAAAGCAGGTGGCTATAATTAATTCTTCTGGTAAATATTAACATTTTCATCTCTCTGAGCAGGAGGGTTAAGGAGAGCGTTTCTCCATTCTTTCATTGGCCCTTAAAAATGGCTCTGGCATCCTGTTACCAGATGCCAGCAGATGCCAGTGTGCTGCAGGGTTCCAGTATCATTGCTGTGGGTGTCCTCAGTAGGAATTGGTAGTGTATGGCACCAGTGCCCCACTGCTGCTCCTGTTTTACAGAATGCAATCATCTCTGTCACCTTCAACATGGACCTGTCAGACTGACATGGAATGCTTTTCATATTTGAAAATAAATTCTCTTTAAAGTCTCAATAGTTAGTTTAAAAATTGGCTCAATTAAGCGTAAGATGATGGTTCTGTGTGCCTGGGAAGCAGAAAGCAAGTGTAGATTCTAAATTTTCAGTTTTGGCAAACAGAGTGCTGAATGTGGCAGAGTTTCAAAATGTTTATTGGAAATAAAATATGAACTGAACTGAAAACTATCCTTTCTGGAAAGCATTCATAAAAATTTGACTTTGGTTGTGTATTTGCACCTAAAATATGTATTTGTACACTTTCTCTATAAACCGTTTTTAATTGTAGTTAAAGAATTACTCTTGAACTAGTGAGTTTTAAACAAAAAGAAAGTTTAAAGGTGGTGCCTTAAGTTGTCAACATTCCTGCTGTGTTTCCATACCATCTCTGAGAGTATTAATAAAATTAGAAAAGTATCACTTGCATGTTATTCATTAAATGTTCATAAAACAGGCCCAGAATCACCTTTCCCTTCTCTTGTTGAGATAGACTATCACTATGTAGCTAAGGCTGGCCTCAAATCCATCCTCCTGCCTCAACCTCCTTGCTGAGATTTCAAGCATGTTCCACCAATCCAAACTAAACAAACCTATAAATAAAACCTACATGAAAACATCCTCTATGGAAGTCCCAGGGGTTTAGGGTTTAGCTATGTCCAGCATGGGATATCTGAGGGGAAAAATAAATCTGCGTACACTATGCTCTTATGTCTGTTAACTTTATTCCTCTAGGACAAAATTTTATCAATTCAGCTATAGCTCCACCAGACATTCAAGGCAGGAGTAACTCTAGACATACCAAGCTCTATATCCATCTACTTTATTTCTCTGGGATGAAATCCTGTCTCCATAACTACAGTTCCATCCAGCTCATAGTCTTGCTATCGACTAAACTCCAATGCTTTCAGCCTCACCTCTGTATCCTCTTTCTCCATCTCTGCTACGCTCTACTCCTGGCACTCAGAAAACTCTACCCCAAATCTGCTTGCCCTCTATGGAACCTCTGTCATCCTCTCTTCTCTCTTGCCATGCCATTCTGTTTCTACAGAAAAATGCCTGCCCTTTCTTTCCCTGGGCACATGGTTCTCTGCCTCCTCAGGAATGTTGTTCTACCTTCCACCTTGATATGTAAAAACCTCTTTTGTTCTCAGTCAATTGCTCTGATGAGCAGCTAGGCCTCAAGGCGAGGAGATGGTCTGAGCTTCATTTGCACAAGAAGCAAAGCTATGTCTCCAGCCAGCTTGTCTCCTAGGCTCAGTAGGGGGGCAGGAGGGAGAATAGTAACCTAGAAGTTCAGCAAGTCTGGAAATATTTGGCCACGCAGGAATTTCATAGTAGAAGACAGCTGGAATATTAAAGGCTGGATAACACCAAATATTCATAATAAATGGCTTGCCTTTTGACAGACCCTTGGCCAGCCAAAGTATAGCTTTAATACACAACTGAATCTCTATAATATATTCTTGCGGCCCGCAAGAATCCTCTAAATAAATATGATAGAGCTATCTTCAGTCAATAATGAGTAACATTGTATGATATTGAGGTCACTTCACTCTATCTAGGCTTCCTTTTCCTCATTTATAAATGTGGAAAACAATATTGTCTCATTGGTTTGGCATGAGCATTTAATCAGATATGTGACAAATATATATGTATATATATATATGCATACGTACATATCTATGTGTATACACACACACACACACACACACACACACACACACACACACACACACACATACACTCACTTCACAATGACTTTTGAAACACACAGCTAGGAACTGAAAGTCCCCTGCTTCTGATCCTAAGTTTTCATTGGCAAACATGGGAAAGTTGAGACAGATGATGTCATTTTTTTTTCTGGTATTTCTGTAACCTTGTTTTCATTTTCAAAATGGGGGGATGCTAAAAAATATTCATGAGTTCATAGTTGGTAATTTTGTTATTAGTTATTTCATTAAAACAGTATTAGAATTCAAGGACAGTGTTTGGAACATAGAAGGAATTTAGAGAGCACAGATTCAGAGTGTTTCCCAAGACCATGTGTGTGCTAGTCTTAGTCCTCTTAGGACGTCAGCCATTTATTGTTTTTTTGGTTTTCCTGCTTACATGATACCCTATCATATGCATCATGCCATGATGCATGGCCTCAGAAACAGCCCAGAGGCAGTGGTGCCAGCCACCTATGCACTAGACTGTCTGTAACTGTGTGCTAACATAAAATTTTACTCCTTTGGATTGACTCAAGTATTTTGTTATAATAACAGAAATCAGAATAACACTAGTGATATACTTAATACAGTGTTGTTCAAGGATAGCAAAAGTTGCTTAGAATTTTATAAAATACTATGTTAGATTTCACTTGTATCTTGATGATCATAATATTTGAATCCATGAGTATTGAATTTTTCGTTAATCTAATTTTTTCTTATAACTAAGTCCATTCTTTTCAGGGTGTGGGGGTACTTGGTAAAGCTAAGACATACCTCAATTGGATAAAGCTAAGTCATTTTAAAAAGATTTTGTACTAGTAAGGAATACTGTTCACTACTCCTTTCCTCATTTCTTAACTTGTTTGTTTGTTTGTTTTTGTTTTTGTTACAAAGTCTCAGGATGTTTAGAGTAGAATAACAGTGCTGTGGTAATGCGAGGGTTTACATTTTAGCATTTTGAGGTATTCTAACCTTATTTGGGGTCCATCCTTATGCTTCATGCTTTATCCCTACAGCTAACCTGGTATCTAATGAACTCTAAAAGACTGAGGGCCAATGAATTAAGTGCTAACTTAATACATACTTAGCAAGCAATACACAACCATGTTGGCAACACTTAACATCTGCCTGGAAAAATTTTCAAGTTATTCATTGAGAAAATTTTTCTGTGACCCCATACAGGTAAGAGGGTCTGGTAAAGCAGCACAGCTGACTTGTGCCTGCGTTAACCACGCCTTTCCCGAAGTGACAGAGAACGATTGTACCAGGTGTGTCTACACAGGACTCAGGGCTCTGTGAGAATGTGTTCTCACTCACAAGCACTATCCATATTTGGAAGGGCTGAACACGTTGTATTCATTTGTGAGGAATAATACAAATAATCCCTACTTGTGTATAATTAATATCCTCGGCATTTGATCTAGAGATACAGGATTTAAGGAAGGGGTATGAAGTAGGTCAAATATATTCACCACTGCTCCTGTGTGCATCCATAGCCGATTCAAGGACTGGCCCCTCCCATCAGTAAACATGACTACTGTAATGGAGGCAGGCACATAGGATGGTTTCATCTGTGTCTGCATAGTTGCTCATAGAATGTGCACTCGCGTACTGCAGTGACTATGTCATTTTTGCAAAATCATTTTATCTGAGATTATGCAATTACTTGAATCCAGAAAAACAAGCATGTTTAAAATCACTAGGAATTAAGACACATATCCTGACAAGGAAAAAAGAGCAGCTGGAAACTCATCCTAGAATGCGATTTTAATCACGGAGTTTTCATTTAGGGAAGTATGTAATAAAGCCACGAGGCAAAGATTTTATTCTGCTGCTGCCTTGCCACAGGCCCAAAGACACACATCTATCTACCCGTCCCTTGAGTGTACGTTAACTGTCAGCTCTAAATGACTTGCCTTAGCAGATAACTTTTATAACTGCAAAGTCAGCACTGTGGTCTTGTTCATAAAAATAAATTAGAATGATTCTTCTTCAAAGTGTGATTGGCTTTCTTGTTCTGAAGTGTGAATTTTCCTAAGCACACATCCATTGAATGTGCATGTGAGTCTTTGTTTTCTGTATGCTCACAACTGAGTCTTCAAACATGGCTTTACTAAATCAGGCATACTCTACACTTTAGGAAAATCGGTGCCCTGTGTTTCTTCAGTTTGTCCATTTTTTGATAGCCTTCTTCCTATTTCTCTTACATCTATTTGTTTATTGAATAGAAGCATAGCTTTGGAAAAAAGGAAATAATGGAGAGAAATAGGTTATAATGAGATTGACAAATACTAATTCATAGTTCCTATTCTTCCTGATATGTTCACTACACACATATTTTCCTATTTTTCCTTATTGATAGAATAAATAGTATTGAAACACTTTTATAAGTTTTGAATGCACAAAAAAAGGAATGCTAATGAAAACGCATACTGTATTATTAGGTTAACAGATGTGCAGTGTCAACACCCGTATATAGAAGTGGAAGTTTGATGAGGAATCTTTGCCTGGTTGATTTTCAGATACATGCTTAATATTGTGGCAACTTTCATCCTGAGATGCGTTAGAACTTACTAGAGCACAAAAGAAGCATACCTTTGGCACATGTTAAGGTATTTATAGAAATTTCTAAATCTTACACCACATTGTAACTAACCAATTACTCAAAAGATACAAGGGGAGGATCCATTGTACAAAGAGGAATCTTCTAGAAGCATCCATTTGTATTATAGCTTTTGTGTTCTATGTCTTGGATGCGTATTTCCAATAGTATAGTAACTAAACTTAATCTCTACACAGCCATAGGCGACTCTCTGTACTTTTGGGTCAGTTATGCATCTGATCCTGCCACCTGCTGTGATGTAAACCCAGACCCAAGCCTCCTGCCCGCACAGCAATGATAAATTCTAGCGAATAGGAGGAGAGGACAGACTCATGGGTTCCTGACAGGGTAGTAAAAAACAGAAAGATAGAAAGCAGATTGTGTGTGTATGTATGTTAAACAATAATAATTTTAAAAGAAGCCATAAACCTGTAGGGGCCACACACCAGAGGAATGGCAAGGGCATATTTAGCCCCCAAATGATATATAGTACTAATATATGAGGTTCTCAAGAAAATGAAAAGAATAATATTAAAACTGTATAAGTTCTTCCATTTAACTTTATGTATAACATTATTCAATAGAAATTTGAAAATTTATATTAATTTTTTTCTGAGTACAGTTAAAAAATAAGTAATTGAACCTTACAATGTTGACTATTTTAGGTTTCTTAGAAAAAGCTGACATGGATGCTGAGGCAGAACCAATTAGAAAATATTCATTAAGATGTGTTTTTTATTAAAATACATGTTGTCGTCTATGGGTCCTGTTTTTGTCTATGTTGTTTTATGGTGTTTTTTCACTTGTTGTAGTTTGCTTAAAATACTTTGTCCTTTGAGTCAACAAAAAAGTTCAGGAAAGAAAAAAAAATAGCAACTCTGATATTTTTTAACCATTTCAGTGAGGGAACAGGAAGCTCAAAGATGAACTTGATAACTGTTTATTGATAGTAAACAAAGTCTCAGTTTCTAAGGATGCTACAAGGGGCTTCTGTTAGTGTGGAAGGAATTGGAATTTAGGAGAATGACTTTCTGTCCATATGCATTAATCATTGATGGAAAACAGAAGCGCAGAGGACTCAGTCACAACCTGCAGTGTTCAATTACATTTGGTTGCTTTATGTCAGGGTATCATAGGCCATAGTGACATTGGCAGATTTGAGATTTGTTTTAGGACATGCTTCTCAAAAATGTCATGAGCCATAGAACACTAGAAGGTCACACCCTTCTTTTCAGCCATGAAAATCTAGACCTGAAGAGAAAGAATGAAGGAACAAAGGGGTGGAAACTGAACACAAACCAAATCAGCTCTGGGAAGTGCTCTGCCTTATCCTCAGAAAAACCTTGCTAGGCTCTCATGCATATTATCTGCTTAGAGTCAATACTGCTTAATCATTAAATAGCAACTTTAAATACATAGCCTTACCCCTAGTGATAAGTAATGGTTAGGTTAAAGTTTTTTTTTTTTTTTTTTTTTACAACTGGAGTATTATAGTTCTGTTTAGGCTTTTTGGGAAAGAAAATATTTGAATCCCCATAGCCCATGGTGAAGTAATTTTTCTGTATCAAGGCTGTGCATTATGGCCATGCCTAGTTTGCTGTTATGGTCCTTATGTCCCTTTTTAAAAGCAGCACAATTTCCAAAATTCAAGTAGTGACACACACATGAAGGAGTCTTATGTATTCAAGAGACTAGATACAAACAAAATTTAAAAGCTCATGGATGGAAATGTGTGAGAACAATTATATCTTCCTTCAATAGGGAGACATAAGCATCAAAATAAAGATCTGGGAGAAGTTCAAATTTGATTATCTAAAAATTGAAATTACTTTATAAAATAAAATATAATAAATGACAGCCTGATATAAGATATTCTCCTTTATGTTCTAATTATCAAAGCATTGTGTAAATATATATGTATATATGAACTTTGGCTTTGTATACAAACATGAGTACTCTTCATATGCATGCATACCATACCAAAAGCACTGTAAAAAGTATAATTTTAAAGTTATTAAATAATAAAGAGTTAATTGTTGGTAATGGAAAAATAGAATAAAATCTATGTTGTCTAATGCTGGTGATATTTTATTTTATTTCAAGCAGTAGTGATAATCAAACATAATCTTGTTCATGCTATACAAAGTGTGTGTGTGTGTGTGTGTGTGTGTGTGTGTGTGTGTGTGTGTGTATGTGTGTGTGTGTACATGTGCATGTGTATGCATTAAAAACAAAATTAGTGGGATAAGATAGTATAGATCTTGCAGAGCCAGCAGTTTTATTTACATATTTCATAGAGATATAAAGAAATAATTTTATTTTACCCTTTAATTTCTGCCTCTTTAAAATTCTTACTCTTTATAAAGGACATTTTAAACACTAACCTTCAAGGAGTTTCATTTAGTAAATGTGATCTTTCAGGTCGATGCTATCAGTTTTAAGAAGCATAATATATGAGTCATGAGAATATTTCCATGAATAATAAGTCTTTTTAAAGTAATCTCCATTAGGCCTTAAACCAGTCAGGGTATTTGTTCCAAATTCTGCTCGTGACTTTTGAACCCTCTACACCAGAGAATTTTGCTTTTTCTCCACCATGTTTTTCCAATGCATAGAAAAACTTAAGCTTTTAGCTGGATAATAAAGATTAGCTTCCATTTCCCCACTAGATGGTATATGGCCACCAGGAGTATCATGTGATGGCAGGAAGCCTGTTTTCCTTCCACAGAAAACATTTCAGTGTCTAGAACCTTGCCTGGGCATGAAGACACTGCTTTGAAATGTGTTGCCTGTGTCCATCTCCTGCTTCTCTCTCTAGGCATGGTCACCAAGCAATCACCTCACTCCTAGGTGTTTCAAGGCCTCATCTCTTCTATGGGTCTTCCTAACATTTGTGACTTCTTGTAGAATTAAGGGGAGACTATGGAACAGAAAAACATTTCCCAAGAGTAAATCCTAGTAATGACACAGTTTGTTGCTAAGAATGTGGTTGGACTCAACTGCAGGGCATGATGGGAAAGTCATATGTGTTTGTGCTCTCAGGAATTGGATTTTCGGTGAAAACTTCCACTCCATTATTTTAGTGGTTACTGTACTAAGTCATGGGATACATGTAAAAACAATAAATGAGTCAAGATTCTTTAGACTCTAGAGAACCCCCAGAGTTGTTTAACAGAGTAAGGAAAGAAGGAAGGAGAGAGAGAGAGAGAGAGAGAGAGAGAGAGAGAGAGAGAGAGAGAGAGAGAGAGAGAGAGAGGAGAAGAAAAGGAAGGGAGGAAAATAAGATCCGTGTTCTTTTGTGCACAGGAGCTTACATTCTAAGAGCAAGCTATGCACTCATGTGTTTGTCTATTTGTAGGTCATGTCTTGCTCATTCACTTACACAGCATTCTTCTCACATTTCTGAGCTGCACCAGAAATGACAAAAAGAACTTACATGCATAAAGGAAACCTTCTCTGACTTCATGTTTCATATTCAAGTTTGATCTGTGTATCTAAACATGAATACAACCTTCGTGAGATTGCAGTGCTTATACTTTTACAGACGAGGATGCGCAGCGACATTGTCAACATAGAACAATGTGAGTCATTGTACATTGTACAGCCCCCAGCTTCAGGCTTCCCAGGGCCCTCCCTAGAAAGAACAGAAAAGTCAAACAAAAGGTCATGCTCATGAGACTTCCTGTTGCCTTGCCTCTGTGTCACATTATGGGATGATAAAAACTCTCCTGATACCCGGAATTGTGACATTTGAGAGGTGGAAGAGGATCAGAAGTTCAAGGCTGTCCTTGGCTACATAAGGACTTCAGAAAAGCCTGGATACATGAGAATGTGTCTCAAAATGAATAAATAAATGTGTCATTAAGTTCCCCTCAGTAAATTATTTACTCTCAGCGAGACAAATGTGTCCCTGGAAAAGGGGAGTGAAGATTCGCATGAGACAAGACGTTGGCTTCCAGTTGTTAGTATAATGAAATCAGTGCCTAATGCACACAGTTAGAGAAGCGTGTTATGTGGTTCTTTTCCGGTTATATGTTGTTTTATATAGCTTTATTTGTACCTTTTCTTTACTAACACAGGCTGGTTAGATCAAAGAGTAACTAAAACATCTTAGAATTCTGATTTTTCTGAAAATTAAGAACTATGTTTTATCCGAACAAGCACTCCATAAACAGGAAAGAAAGAAATAAAGCTAATTTTAAACAATTTTTATCAGCTCCTTCTTTTCCCTTTAAATATCAGGTGCTTTATTTGGCAATTACAATTACACAGCCTGCCTGATGTAACCATTACACAGCTTACTTTACATAACCATTACACAACCTGCTGCCTGATGTAAAGCTCTTCAATTGTTATTATAGAACCTATGATTATAGGATTCTTCCACTTAAACCTTTATAAAGATGAGCAAAGTGGGAAACTATACCTTTGCTGCCATTTAATGAATCCAATTTAAAACACTGCCAAACTCTATAGCAATGTAAAGATTAAGATCAAATTTCCTAGCCAAATAGATACTGCCAAGAGTTACTTACTAGCGATGGAGAAATGTCTGAAGTATCGCTTTATAAAGAGAACAAAGGTCTCTCCTAGTTCGTGTCATGTCTCTGGATTGTAATTTGTGAGCATTAAAAGAAAAATAATCTTATCAAATGTGTGTGTGTGTCTGTGTGTGTGACGGGGTCTTTTCTCCCCTCACCTCCCATCCTTCCTAGGAATGTTACTTCAGCTCATCCCAGGAGAACTCTCTGCTTGCTGTCTTTCCCACCATGAGGAAGTATTGTTATTTATTTACAAGTGAAAGAAGAGGACATTTTTGCATATCTAAACTGAAATTAGGCCCTGGTTAATTTTGTCTTAAAATAGGAATTATTGAAAGTTGAGGGAAGGTAATAGCTTTAAGAATTTTTTTTAACATTTGTTTTTATTTTCCTGATTTTATCTAATGATTTTACTTTTTTCTTCTTTTTTACATTATTTTTTCTTTACTCACTCCACACACCATCCACAGATCACCCCTCCTCACTCTTCCCACCCCCAGCCCTCCCATCTTAGCATTTTACTTTTAAATATATTCTTTATTATTTAATTTTTTAAATTTAAGTATACTTTTATCATGTTCTTCACCTTCCCCAAGTCCTTCTGGATCCTCTTCCTCTCCCCAACTACCTAACTTTAATTTCTCTCTCAAAAAATAAAAAACTCAATACAACAAAACAAAGAAAACAAAGTAAACCTACCTACCCAAAAACAAAAACAAAAGACACCAAACTGTAACATGTAAAAGCACAAACAAAAAAGTATGGGGTTATTTACTCTATATCTACCTTTTGTAGCTCTATGGATTGTAGCTTGGTTATCATTGACTTCACAGCTAATATCCACATATAATCAAATATATAACATGTTCAATGGGTGTATTATTCAGCTGTTAAAAAATGACATCATGAAATTTAAAGGCAAATGGATGGGACTAGGAAAAAAACATCCTGAGTGAGGTATTCCAGACTCAGAAAAATAAATGTAGAATGTATTTCATTTTTTTCTTTTAACCTTTGGTTTTTTTTTTCCATGCCAAGGCAAGGCTTTCTACCATAATGGAGTCAAAACTAGAGTAGAACTGTTTTTTGAGTTATATTTCATGTTTGCGTTGCTTTTGGTCTTTGTATAATTTCCCATAAGTCAAAGTGAGGTGGCATTCTTTTTTTTTTTTCCTTAGTTTTCATTTCTTGTTTTACTTTTTGACAGTTTTGTATATGAACACTGTATTTACATCAATCCTCTATCTCTTCCCTCCAGGTCTTCCCATAACCCCCACTCATCCTCAAATTCATGGCCTTTAATATTTTTATTGTAACTGTTACACATTTATGTACATGTATATTTATAATTAGAATCTGCTGAAATCATTTACTGCTGCTCATGTGTGTTTAAGGCTGACCTCTTTGCTAGCCTGTAAGGGGGCTTGTCCCTGGAGAAAGACTCTCCCTTTCACAGCTGTGGTGGTATACTTACCTTAGTAAAACTACTCTTGCAAAACTCGCAAATTATTTCATCAAGCCAACTCTTTCTACATGTACAGAAATGAACCTTGCTTTCACTCAATTTGCATATCTGATCCATTTATGTTACAATATAGCATCTTCCTTCATTTGTTATCATGAAAGTCAACATGGGCACCAGAGTTCCCAGCTCTTCTAAGGGTTCCCAAAGTTCTCTGTAAATAAAATCAATGGCAACAATCCCCAGAAGAAGGTGAAGTATTAATATAGCAAATTTTCTCTATCTACATTATTTGTGTTGAGTTGCAAGCTTTCCTCCCAGCAAATGCTAATAAATTTTGGATTCCATGAACTTGTCCTTCTGTCCTGGGCCATGAGACCCTCTATACAAACGATGCATGGGAATCTAGTAGGCAAGGCGGTTTTCACAAGTGGTGTAGCACAGTGTTCTTTCCGATCTAAGGACCCTTCTGAAATATGTGGCATGTCTGCTGACCTGCTTCTCTTTTCCACCTTAAAATGACAGAGAATCACACCTTGCATTTCTAAATCTCATGCTTTGGGTAGTGGGAGGAAGTGATTGCACTAAATGATGCTCTGGGATGAGGAATTTTAGAGATGATACTTTGGCAATTTCCAAGTACTATAGTTGCAGAAAGAAAAATTTTCTACCCCCTATTAAAGTTCCCCAATCTTCTTATAACAACCTTTTCTATATCCTATAATCCTTCATCTCATATACAGGGTAAAGTTTCCCGGATATAACATGTGAATGCAGTTCATAATTGATATCTAAATAAAATAGGATTTCTTTAATCATCTAAATTGTTTTAGTATTTCATTCAACAAAGATAAGCATTTTTCCACTAAGTGTTTCTACAACTATATTTGCTGAATTCCAGTACTGTACAGAGAAGTACAAGCTTGGATTAAGTCACCCAGGGTGATTCTATCCTTAAAGAAAAGAATACTGGACAGAGTTGAGCCCATGCCTGAAGTCTCAGCACCTGTCAGGCAGCAAGATCAGAAGTGAAGGTTAGCACTCAGCCCCAGCTGTGTGGGCTCCATCTCAA